TGCTTTTTTTCAAACTCATTTGTGCAAAAATGAACACGACACATTAGGCCAAAATTTGAACTCAGTTTTTCGACTTCATTTTAGCGCCAATAACCGTTATGCTACTTACACATTGAAAAAATAAACAAAAAGAAAGACTGTCGTTAAAATTCGATTGTCCAAGATGGCAAATTAAAGTATTTTTTGAGGCAAACTTACTGGTAAAATCTATTGGGTTTAGTTATAAGCAATTTCCGGTTTTGTTTATCGACATTATTCTTAAAAAATAAAGTACAAGTACTTTTTAATCAATTCGTTTATATAAACAACATTATTTGCAATGATAAGTTGCTACCTATCAGCTAGCTCTTCCATATCATTTAAGTAAAATTACACAGGCTTTGAAGTTGAAAGTTTTATTTTTTAAAATACTAGGAAGCGAAATAAATTCTACTGAAAAGGATGCAAAAATTCGTATCGCTAAAACCTGAGCCACCTTGAATAAGATGGATGTAATCTGAAAATCTGATCAACCATACGACCTTAAACGGAGATTCTTTCGAGCCACTGTAGAGGCGGTGTTAATATATGGTACCCTGCTTGGACATTAACTAAAACCCTAGAGTCTAAGCTTGATGGAATCTACATTCGGATGGTGAGAGCTGTACATAAGATCTCTTTAGGACAACATCCAACTAAATCACACCTCGATGAACGCATCACTGATATTTCCACAATCTTATACGAACGCACAATGCGCTTTGCAGGACAATACTGACGAGCAAAACAAGAACTTACGAGTGATCTACAGTTTTGGGCACCTAGTCATGGCGCAACACGGGCTGGTCGCCCAGCCACTACCTACATTGACCAGATATGTTATGACACATGATGCCACCCTAATGACCTTCCGACCGTGATGCAGTTTGATTCAATTTGATTTATTTGTTTGACGGCATATCAACTCCTTATGAGTGATTATAGCCGAAATACAACTTCCTTGGGAGCTTTGAAGTAATAAAAATATGTTATTCTGCTTTCACATTTGAATACATGGTAGATGATACTCAGCTTTTTTGCATTTATATGTTTGTATGAACATGATGACTAGAGATATTTTTATATGTGTTTCACGCCGAAGTCCTGTCGAAGCTGCACTTTGGAATACAGCTCAACTCCTCCAAGAAACCTAGGATATTACATGGGCCAATGAATTTTTTGTCATTATACTATAAATAGGTATTGTTGGTAATTTTTCATTTAAAAATATATTCCTGGTATTTTTATTATACAAATGTATTTTCATAATTTCATAGGGTTTTGTTTTTGTTTGACGATTTCACTATTTGGCCCTAGCTGTGACCATAACAGGTTCTACCACCCCGGGTCAGGGTGGACCTGGGAACAACAGCAATTAAGAGGTAGTTCCACGCTCCTCAAAATCTCCAAAGGCCTTGCTGTCGGATGTAATTTATAGTCATACCCAGGACTTCTTGATGTTGTTAGCGCCATGATGGTTGGCGTGGTGAACTCATGAATGTCCGAGATAGTTTGACCGAATAAAATAAATATAGTCAAAAAGCTTTCGACGAACTTTTGAATCTGGTTACATAAAGGTTTTCCCCGTCACAGTGTTTTGCAGTGATCGAAAAAGGTAATAATAAGGGTATATGACGTTTTCTCTATTAACAAACGCAGGGCGCATTTCCATCAAACTTTTATGGCCACGTTGCAGCTGCTGGACGTATAAACGTGCATTTATTGTTTCATTATGCTTTAAGAGTTCTAAACTATATCCTGACGATACTACCGCGCGCACAACGTTACCATTCTTCCATTGAACTCAGCCTTTGGGGTTGGGTGCGGAGATTTATCCTTGTCGATCCACTGACTATTGCGTTAAACATTGTTGTATGCACCACATTGTTCATCACCTGTCAAGATATATTTAAAGGAACGGTCAAGTTGATACAATCGTCATTATAAGTGATTTACAAAAACGGAAATTACATATTACTCACCCTAATAAATATATCCTTGTGTAGAGTATTGAACAAGTGAAAGGAATTAAGGGCAAAAAGAGTAGCTTTCGCTTATTTTCCAAGTGAAAAGTTCCACTCTTGAAAATCAGGGTTCGAAATTTTTGTTTTTACGTGGGCACAAAAACAGATTTCTGGGACAAGTATAAAAGCATGCTTTTTTATCGTTTCTCCCCCAATCAAGACGATAATGCTACTGAGATGTAAGGGTTTATTGAGAGTGAAAGATAATGAGAAAACACCAGAGAGGAAAAAAGACAATAAAAGAACAGGATTCAGAAAAGTAGATGAATAGATGTTGCATTTACATTTTTGAAGATCATACTTTTTCAACCAAGCCTTTATGGACACGTTGCAGCTGCTGAACGTATAAATGTGCATTTAGTGTTTCATTGATTTTTAATTGTTTTTTTAAAAACTCTAAATTAATTATTTACACTATTTACTATTGTCCTCATCTTTGTTGTTTGATGAAAGTCGGAGGGGACAACGTTTCGGTCGTTGTATTCTCCGGCTTTCATCAGGTGCATATTGATTCGGGTAACCTACATGGAATCCCGAACTGAACCCTTTATTTAATCTACTAGGGTAAAGTGTTCTCACTCCACTGCCCATGTCTAGGGATATCTCGTCTAGTTCTCATTTTTAGTACTGCTCACTTATTTCTCGCATCGTTTTCACAGAGTCCAATACACAATACCCGGCCTATGGATTGATCTCACAATTAGTATGTCATTACATTCTCGAACCAACGCCTTACTCTACTAGTCTATTTGTTCTGTATTCTAAATGATCCCTCTACACCCACAAAATTATGTTCCTGCCGCTCAACTCAGCTTTTGTTATTTGTTGTGGAGATATATCCTTGTCAATCTATTGCCTTTTGGGTTGAATATTGTCATGTTAGTGTACTTCAAATTTATTCTTAACTAGTTTTGTGATGTTAACGAACACTCGTTACCACTTTTGTAATGCTCGTTGTAGTAGAGACTTTGTAATCGCAGATACAACTATAGTAACGCCGTTGAACAATACTGATGTCAGACGCCTTCGAATTGCTCGATAATACTCGCTCGAAAATCACAGAATAGTGATCCGAATAGTAATCCGTATAGTGAGATATTCACTAACCGTCCCACGCGGCCGGATGCGGCATAAGGGTTTATTGTGGGGTATCCGAGCCCGTAGGTTCGGTCAAAAATTACCCGTAGACCCCGTAAAAAAAAAACGGTGCCGGGTAGCTGTCTATCACCCCAGACGAGACTCTGTCCTTCGTCACAGCCTCATCTGGGTTCCTATCTGCCCGGAGGCAGAGTTTAACAAGCACACTTCCGAAGTAATCCGGTTAGTAAGATATTCACTAACCGCTGCACGCGGCCGGATGCAGCACAAAGACAAGTTTATTGTGGGGTATCCGAGCCCGTAGGCTCGGTCAAAAATCCCCCGTAAAACAATTTATTACTAGATAACATCTAGCATGTATGAATTATGATCTGAAATCGGAATGAAGGCAGTGATGGCACATACCCTGAATCAATCATAAAAATTCAAGATGTGGAATTAGTAAATACCAAAGGCTTCACATTCCTCGGCGTATGGATCAGTTATAACAAACAAAGGGGATTAAACATAGAATGTGCTGCGCCAGAGGTAGTTTCGCTAAACACCGCAAATTGCTACAAAACCAAAACATAAACCTGAAGACTCGAGTTATGTTCTTAAATAACCTTGTCACATCGACTTTCACATGGTTATCACGTATGGCGCCAAACCAGTTCAGGAATGTTTAAACTATTGGTTGCATGCAACCGTTTTCTAAGAACAGTGGTTAAAAAGTCTTTGAGTGAGTGAAAATGCTGGCAAAGACCAACGTTCTTTGAACAATTTAGAATGACACTACAGAATCAAAGAGCTGTATCAAAACAAAAAAGCAAATCCCTTAAGGACAACCAACAGTAGCAACAACTAAAAGGGATATCACATGTAACTCGAATAGAAAACAATGGCATAATCAAGATGTTGACATTCCACACTACTCCAAATAAAATGTTAGGAAGGAAACCTCCATCAATACTGAAAAGTAATAACAGTTAATGGACTTCAAAAAAATATTTTCCTGGAAAATTGTTTTAAGAGAAAGATTTTATAAATTTCAACCGAAGTGACTGAAGTGACTGACTGCTAGATCAACGAATGCCAAATGTTTCCTTATAAGGAAACGGATATTATTTAATATAGATAAAATTTCAACAAAGTTTTGTCCAAATTTTTGTAATTCATTTATTCTTTATCAAGATTTTTCATATTTAATTTCGCCATTTTCATGATTCCATACATTATAGGTTAGGGAGTAAAATAATAATTATAAGTGTTAGTTTGTTTTTGCTTTCAATATCGAACGTCCTCGATCAAAAAACAGTGAAAAGTTCTTTCCTACATTCCCTGATTAATGATTCCAAATTTGATTTGATATTTATTGACACAATTAGTGTTACTAAAACAATTTAATACGTGAATCGGTAATAAATAAGAGAGACTTAATATAATTATCAGTGTTTTATTTTAATGACTTTTGCATATTATTCCAAGTGCCTGAATAAATATGCAGCCTGTGTTTCTGACTGTAAGCACGTATGTTAGTCCTAAACTATTATTAACCCACTGAAAAATATTTAGCAAAGGACTTGTTAGTTATATATAATAACTAGCTAATTAAGGACCGTGTTTAATACTAGGTATTAATTATTATTTCTCATTGATAAGAAATAAAAAAAATATATATATTATATCAATAAAATACTAATTTAAACTTTTGTAACATTTCTCTTCAACAAATCTTAAGGTACTTGAGGAATAAAATAAAGAGGCATTAAGAAAGAATAATTTTGATAATATTCAAAAGTTGGATAATTTCAAAAGTTTTATTCAAAGTTTTAACTTTTTTTATTTGTAGTATTAATTTCGACCCACATTATTTGAATTTACGGTCACATCACATTGAAACACCTGTTCCCGTACGTTTACAGATGTTAAGAAACGTCGAGCCTGGTCAATTCCTTGATGGGTGACCGCTTGGGAATACCAGGTGCTGTAGGCTTGGATGTGCGGGTGATGTAATGGATAATAGCTCAGAATTGTTAATCGGAGAGCCAAGTTCCAACTCCAGTTGGGTTCGTTATAATCCCTTACGCGCAAACACCTCTGGGAATGATATGAATCCAACTCTTCTCCCCCCAGATATGGGTTAATTAGTAAAACTAAATAATTATTATCTGAAAAAACTCTTATAATCTAAAAATGTTTTCTGACTTTTAAAACCTGCAAAAGGTCGATAAACCGTAAAAAAACGCAAAAATGATACATTTGCCTTTACTTCCTAGAATATAAAGAAAATGCTTGAAAATTTTAATCAATGTTAAAACCTTAAATGTTTTAGCAGACTTAGGAAATTAAAATAAAAGATATATTGAAAAATATATTCAACAATCTAATTCAGGGTTTCTTAACCAGTGGAGAATCCCCCCCCAGGGGATAATTTCAGGGTTTCTGTAGGGGAATTGGGGTCACAGATTGGTAGACTCAAAATGTTAACTTTGGAACCCCATAAGGCGGCACAACCTGCTATTGTCTTAACAACTAAGAGGTCACGCTGGATTTTCTTTCCGCTACCTCGTGTTTTCTTACCCCTACAAAAATGATCCATATAAATGTATAGGTACTAATAGGGAAAAAAATGAAGATTTTCAATAATATTTGCATATTATTTAGAATTCACATTTTGAATCGTACGTTCTTCGAAAGGGTGTCGGGTGACATCCTGACTTATGGTGAAAAGGGTCCACCGGACAAAACTGAGAACAACTGATCTAATTACATGCTCAATTTTCATGTTGCAATGAAGCATTTTGGAAACTAAAAAACCGATCACGAGTCTCGTAACTGTTTCGAGTTGTAGAGGCTGATATGTACTGCTGTCGAAATAGAAGTCTTGGACAAGACAGCCTGACGAAGCCCAAATCTTTCCAGGCTGGTTTGAATTCAGAGTTTTTTCTTCTCCTAGACCGATTGGAACCCAAAGCTATCTGTCCTGCTATTTACCCATAGCTAGGAGTGACAGAAAAGAAATGGATTCCCAGTGCACATAAATGTAATGAACTCTACTAGAATTCGAACTCGGCTCTCCGATTCCTCAAACTCAGCCGCAATCTATTACTCCACTGTGCCCCCTAACAAATATGTTTGCTAAATGATTTCTTCAAATTCTTGATTTGCTAACATATTTCATTTATGACAGTAGTTAATGAATGCTTTCATCTCTGTTCATCTCTCTTTTAATGTTTGTTTATGGCCTTTTATTTCCCATATATGGAAACTCTTATTTGACACATTACAAAATACTAAAGCAAAATTTCTCACTGCATGGTTTGTGTGCACACATTTTGGGTCCCAATAACTAATTGTTTTGTTGAAGCAAAGAAACATTCTGTCAAATTTTTGGATTATTTTCCTAATCCGTCGACATGAGTTTATACTTGTGTCCAAAACAAGGCAATTTCAAGTCAAGACTTAGCAACCATACAGCTTAGTGTCTCTGACTGGAAATTGCCAACCTTTTATTTGATACTATTGTCTACCCCTAGATGAAACCGTAAATTCAATGCTAACAGTTTCCTTTCTCGCACGTCTCACTTGTGGAACTCCCTTCCGGCTCCATGCTTTCCAGACAACTTTAACCTGCAAAAATTTAAATGCAATGTCAATCACTATCTACTATCCTCTTGATTACTCTTTATGTTCTCGCTCATTATTAATGTTTCTGTTTCTATTTCAAGTGGAACTTGTATGTACGATCAAGTCGTTGAAAAAAATGGTCGGCTCCCTGTAAGTACCTGACTCCTTGAGCTATGTTTTAACTTTACAAGAACCAGAGCAAGTTGAAAATGGAGTACTGCTGTCATATCTTGGTTAGAGGTGGTCAGCCTTCACTAGTCCAAAATAGTCCGCGCGGCCTTGTGGGTGATGAATTGTTTTCTACCTTACAAACCCTTTTACACAGATAGACCGTTACTGGCCTCTCGCTTCTCTATCGCTATTTCCCTAGCATAAGTTCGGACGAACTACATTCCTTAGTTCATCCCAACTCTAACCCTTCCAGCTAAGACCCGACACGCCGCGTATAGTGAGGCGAACCACCTTCATTCACTTCGTATTCATTTAAAAAAGATTAAATTCCACTTGGACAACTTCTTCCCAAGAACTGTTGCTTTATGGAACGAAAATCCCAAGCGGATACTTTCCCGACTACTACAATCTTAATCTCTCCAAGTCTAGGGTTAACCGCTATCTTTCATTATATCCTCATAAAATACGCCCTTACCGATCAAGTAATAACCGCCCTCAGTAAACCGCTAACTTGAACGACCCTTAGGTTTTAGGTTTTATGTATGGTGGACATTAGTGAAAAAAAAAAACAACAAAAAAAACACTGCTTCACAGTTGATTGGAGTATGTTATTCATATAGATCGGACATTATATATTGTGTATTTCAGAACAAAGTTAAGCTAATAACTATGTGTTAGGATACAGATTTATTGAGTAACTCACGCATTATTTATATTATAAAATTGTCTAGTAAATCCGGCCCATGATATTAGATGTTACATAAACAACTTGTTTTATATAATGGCTAATAATGAAAAAAACAATTATTCTGTGAATACTCACTATTACATACTTGTGGTCACCGATAGAAATTATTTGAGTACCACTTGTGCGTTGATCAAAACACATGGATGACTGAAGATTGCTGATACAAGGAATATAAAGTACCACTCAGGTATTGAGCACTAAACACGCCTGAAGACTGACCAGTGACATACAGAAATGTAAGTACTATACAAAAGTATATCACTTCACAACTGCTTGCCTGATTTTGTACCAATTCTCACCTCAGTATTTATTCAGAGAGCGACGTCTTCACGAGTGAGAAAATGAATTTAAAGCCTTTACAGCAAATTCTTTTGAGATTTTTTTTTTATATGAAGTTGCATTGATGTACTGTTTTTAAAAATAATTACGCGAATCATTCTGTCTATAATCGATATATTAAGAAGTTGATGTCCAGTTATGGAGACAAACCGGAGATTGTATCGTTTCCATTAGGAGAAAATTAAATAACGTCAGAAGATGAGAAATTAACCCGCTGTAAACAGAATGATTATTCATCGAATCAAGGCATTCATTCGTGACATGAAAAGGAAGCGTTAAATACGGAATACTTAAACAGATTAAAGTTTAATCACACCAGGAATTTAAACTCTTAAGAACGGTGAGGTTTAAGTGGCTAACGACTAAAGATATGTGCACGCAGGATAAGATCAGGACACCTGGGAGACTTGTGTTACCTGACTCACAACAAAATTAGACCTGGTTGTAAAGTGTCACACAGCTGCGGGTAGCAAATTATTTCACTTTTTAGACACACACATACACACACAGTCTCACTCACTCAAACACACGCTTTCTCACACTCACTTTCTTACACACATACACTCCTCTCACAGACACAATCGCTCTCACACACACTCCCATACATATTCTCTTCAAAACATACGCTCTCTTTCACCGCCATTTTCTTTAAAATACGCGTACACACATTCTTACATGCATTCTCTCTCGCACATACACACACTCTCCCAAACGCATACACACAAACTCTCTATTGCACGCACATACACTCTGTCTATTTCTACATGTATATCGCACACATACGTACACACACACTCACACACACTCACACACGGAGTAGAATTCGCGTTTTGATAAAAGTATCGACAGATAAAACAAAAACGTTGGTCACTTCTCGTTAAGACTATAATGAAAAACCATGTGCCATAAGCCTGTGCTGGTTGTTCGCTCAGAAACAAACCCAGAAATAGTGTTAGAGTCCGGATTAAACTTGAAAAAAGAAATGTCACTCAGCAAGAAGAGGAAGCACTCAATCCATACTCAAATGAAAAGAATGGCAAACTACTTCGCTATAATTTTTACTGAAAGCCCAATATTATAGGATTAGAATTTGTGTGAGGTTCGATTGAGATGATTAAATAAAAAAGGGTGAGCTCTATGTATTTAACTGATATAGAGATATGTATATCTCCCATATATATATATATATATATATATATATATATATATATATATATATATATATATATATATATGTATGTATTATTTGGTACTGACAGATTTCCCTATACACGTAACAGATACCATCTGCGACTACATAGGCAGAAATGTTAAATATGGTGAAATGGATTACTCAAGTGCTGGCTCACCTATTCTCTTCTCTGTAAACGATTGCAGCATTCCAATGACGTGATGTTTTTGTCAGGATATCTATCGATGCGACATTGCGCAGAAAGGAGGCTGTTCATGCCTTATCATATGTACGAAATCCGCCTCAGCTGAAATTCAAATATGGCTCAACCCATCCGTTTTCGGTGCTAGTAAATATTACGCCTCGGCGTGCCATCAGTGATCGCCCAGTTAATGTCTCTCTGCAAATTGTTTTTCCTACTACGAATTACCAGATCTGGAGATATTGCCCTTGTTTTAATTCGATTCAAGAAGCTGAACCAAAACAGAGTAAAAAAAAAAACAAACAATTATTTCTTCTTTCCGAGGATACAAAACTGTAATAAGAAAGCGGAATGAAATTGTGAAGACTGCTTTAGAGATTGAAAGGTAAGAGGTTTCGTTTCGTTATTTTTTCATTAATTTGTATATTGACACTGAATGTCAGGTGGTCATAGATGGAGATTACGCGGCAGTCATTCCGCTCAAATCTCCAGATGATCCAATTTCTTTTCAGTTGTTTTGGATGGTTTCCGTTTTTCTTTTCTATTTCAAAGTTTGTTTTTCTTTTCGCGGGCTTTTTTGACCGTTCAGAACGCCCACTGAAACGACTGGCAACTTTCAACTTCATAATGAAAAAGGAGAAATTAACACATGCCTTTTTTTTCTTTTACTGTCGAGGTCCAGATATTTGTAAAATACTTCATTTTCTTATAATGTTATTCTCTGATATTCTGG